TTTTGTATGTATTAATACAGCTTATAATTTGTAAAAATGTTTGAGTATACTAGACTAAATAATAAATATTATACACATCATTATTTATATATATATATATATATATATTACTCATTGAGTTATTGTAGGTATTTACTATATACGGGGGTTTTAAATATTTCCTTTCTGAAAAAAAATGTATTTATTTATTAAGTAAAACCATAAACGAAGGATTTAAGGAACAACTGTCTATAGTAGGTAGGTACACAAAGTTTAATAAGGAACTCAAAAACTGTACCTACTATATAAATTTCGATTAAGATGCTTGAACATATTTTTTTAAAAAACGCCATCTACTTAACAATTTACAGCAAAAACATTTAAAGAAGAAGTTTGTATCTCCAATGGACATTTTTTAAATGTAATAAATAATTTGAGAAGGTATTAAAAATATAGTCTTAACTAGTCTTAAGTATATTTAAAAGTTTCATAAAACAGAATTCGAATAAATACGTTACTTATTAAAGGATAAAAGGCCAAAAGGGATATGTTAATATATCATGCACATAATATGACATTGGTGAATGTGAATTAATCCGTACCTAATACCTATAATATTATATACTTTATATTATAATATGTCAGTAAACTATTTAATGATTAACACAAAAAATTATGTTTTACTCTCCCGACCTTAAATTAACTAATAAAAAAATCGGTCGTTTAACCGTGTGCGATATTTTTGTGGGAGTGCTAATATTTTTGGTCAAGCGAATTTTGTTTATTATATATTGCTGTTTAATTATGCTGCCTTTGATATGGACGATAAAATGCACATATAATTGATATACCTAGGTTATATAGTTAATAATTGTCTATTTTCATTAAATATGTCGTATAGTATGGTATTAGGCATATAATTTGTGTTTCGGCATGATTGCACACACAAAGGCCCCAGCGTTAATATAAACTTGTGGGTGATGATGAATGAATCTAAAAATAAAAACAAAGTCATGCTGACTTAAATAAAATTGTACACTTAGCTCACCTCGGCTCAAGATATTGCAGACGGGTTGTTCAATATTCAATCGCCACAATGATCACAATATTCAAAAAACAATTTTGCACGGTGGATAAGCGTTTAATAGTTAGGTTATCTATGGTTAAAATTTTAAGACAGCACTATAGTCACAATAGTAACGCGCCCTTGTCTATTTATACAGATTAAATACAATTTTTTACTTATTATAAACCCGAATAATGAATATGAATTAACGGGAATTACAGTAGAAACACATAAAAATATAAAATACAATACAAATTTTGTTTTCTCATCTTTTTATTTCGTGAAATTTTGAAAAAGTAATTTTGTGAATTTCAATCTAATTGTAAAACGAACGCCCTCGATGTGCTACGAATGTCGTCCGTGTAACACTGCATAATGTTATACGACACACACGACACATTACACTCGCACCATAACAAACATAACAAATATATTATGTACATAATATAGTGTCACATCATCGATTCGCATCACGCTAGCTCCGGATCATATTATAATAAAGGTATTGTCTTCTGTTTTATATTAATATGTTCAGGCCTTGACCGAACCCATGCGTTATGGTATACCACGGTTTAATGTTATAGTAAACTCTAGCAATCTCTATGGGCCAATATCTGTATAATAGTTTTGATGGGTTTTTTATTTCATTGACGCGTGTTATCTAAATTCATAAATAGTTTCATTTCCGTAAGTTAAATTTGACAACTAACCTTGTCACAGCCCACAGTCCCGTCGATTTTAAGTCTTTACTAATACTCAATGACCAAAATACTTAAGTAGTAACTAGTAGCCAGTAGGTATATGATATATCTATTGGTTTAACCAATACATCACAATACGTTTCTAAGCTATATAGGTACATACTATATGTATATTATATATCTCTCAGATATTTCCCAGTTACCTATTCGGCTATTCGTAGACATAATAGTATAATACTGTGTGTATTTACCTACTTCATTTTAGATCTAAATCTATAATGATTAATGCAAAAAAAAAATGTAACGAAAATCATTATAAAAAATGTGAACACATAAAATAATAATATTTTATAACAGCTGTATAGTGCATAGGAGCTCATTAGAATTATTTTAACATAGATATGTTTTTGGGCTGAATACAATACTCTTGTTTTCTAACCGAATTTCGTAACACTTTGTTTATTTCCATAGAAATTCAAAAACAAATGAAATTTAGAATGCTTTTAGTTATACTTATAATATTCATCTATTTTAAAGACATTTATTTTTATTTTTGTAAAAATAGTCATCTACTCATCTATTTTTTTTTAGTTTTGTTTGTAGTTTTTGTTGGTAGGTAACATTTGAGTGTTTGTTTTGCAACATTTTTGATTTGGGCACCCGTAGGTATCTGCTATGCCCGGGTTTTGTTCTCCGGACACCGTGACTTGCCCGAAGAAAAATACCACCCATGGCCGAGGTATCGAACCAGCGTCGGCTGCGCCTCAACCTACACCTTAGTCCACTAGGCCACTCCATGTCCCCCTACTCATATATTGTTAAGTTAACATTATTAATTAATGTTTATAATAATGCCAATGATATATATTTAGCATATATTTATTATTTTAATAGATTGAGTTATATTGTCTATAATTTATATACGCAGACGGCAAACCCAATTACCGTCCTAAATATCTCAGTTCTCAAGTGATAATACCTTGCAATAATATAATATTATTATTATTATTATTTCGTGATGCGTGATATTGTTTCATGTATATACGAGAGTATGCAGAGATAGTCGTTGGACTGCGGCTTTTTAGTATACAACAATAATACTGTACGGACTGCAGATATAATAGGTAATGCACATGTATGTCGAGGGGTGATATACTTCTTAAAAACGCTGCTCGAGACTAAATATGCGCATGCATTTGTCTGACGAGGGGTTAAGGTGGTTTTTTTATTTCTGGGTAATCGCTCGGTCGCATATAATGCCGGTGCGCGTATGTATACCGTATTATATAGACGTCCGTGAGCCGAGGTGTATTTTTTTTCCAACTTTTTTACAATTCGAACATCTTTATGCACAATGCTTAAGCGTGCAGCCCTCCGATAAAAATGACTTCGCCTTACACACGTCATATAATACGTGGGAATAACGGGGTAGCGAGAACGGTGCAGAGACAGCGGTGGCGGTCCACCCCTGGCTGGCGTGCGGGTGGACGGACGACGAATTATTATTTATACCTATGGATGCCTACAATTACTATATACATAAATAAGAATATATATATTTCATGTGTATATCGTATGATATGTATATAGTGTGTACATAATATGTTGTTATTGTACGTGTATTTCGTCATCGTACGATGTACGAATACTACATATATATATATATATAATGTGTATTTTGATATTAGTACCTATACTATCGTGTTATATAGTATAAAGGTATGCTAAACCGCAAAAAGGACTATAAATAAAGGTCGACAATGAGCACGGCTGTGGCGCAAGATGTCTCTCGCGTTTTTATGTATAGCTGCAGGTAATGTGAGTACCTACTTACCTATATTATAATAGTATGATACATATTACGAATATATGATATATGATATAATATATATAAATATATTTAGTATTATATAGCAGTATTCGCGATTCGTACGATTTATGATTTGTATGCGTAACGGATGAAAAACTGTACCTATGTAAAATGTAAGTAAGTATACAAATACGCACAGCACGAGGGGAATATAAGTTACAATATACGATTTCAACGATTATATATATGACTGCGATGCTGCACGATGCTCGGCCGTGCACGTTATGCGATATACACAACAATTATCGTATAACTTCGACTAAAATAAATACGATTACATGCCATTTTTCAGTAGAAACGACGGAGGTGAATATTACTAGAACTCATAATATACCATCCCCTCAGCCCGGCCCTGACTGTTATTATATAATAATAGAACCTTCAATCATTATTGTTTCAGACCCCCCGAAATGTTTAAATTTCGTAACTTTAAATACAGTGTAAACAATCAGATAATATTATGAACTTGAAAAAAAGTTCTGGTACATCAAAAAAATTCAAAAATCTTAATGGGGAAGTGGGCATCATAACAATTTTCCTGATCCCTATGTAGGGCTGGGGTAACCTGTTGAGGTAGCAGGGCGAGCCATTATCGTGCTTATAATATACTACGTAATATGTTATAGTCTATAGGTACCTATGTTTAACCGTTACTTGATTCCATTAATTTATTTTACCTATTAGTTTTATTTTATTTTTTGAATCGAAAAGGTACTGTACTTGTCTACTTTGAAATAGACTGATTACAAGAGTTAATTTATTGTTATAACAAAAATATAATGATAACAATTATTGTCTATGGGGGTGTACTCTATATCCATAATAGTTATTTATGTACTCTCACAGCCTCGCGTTTCTATTTTATTTTTTCGTTTTTTTCGTATTTTCCCATATGAATCTAATAACAGTACATAGACAGCCAGATCCTATAATATTATAGTACAAATGTATTATAGTCCAATAGAATTATTTTTCAGACTAAAAACCAAAAAAAAAAAAATCATGTGTATTAAAATTTCAACTAAGGACGCTGGAAACAAACCTTCTAGGTACTTCTGTGACATTTCGAAATAGTGCAGTTAGCCAGTATAAGCATTATACATTGTAAACGAGTGTGACAGTTTTAAAATATATAATTTCAATTAAACTATGTAACAGAATATGATTATCGTTTGTTAATATTTTGGCACCGGTGTCCGTTTTGTAATTGGATATGAATATTGTGTGCAAAATGGTAATTGAGCGTCTCTAGGCCAAACGGACGGTATAAAACGGACGTTCCGATCAGTGGTTAGTATCAGTCTTTCGTCCGTCTTCAGTCGTACATCTGAACATACATTATATTCAACAGACACTCAAAAGTCAACCTACCAACGAAATCACCATGCAATTCCAAGTAAGTGAATAAAGTATTTTTTTTAAATTTTAGTTATCGACACAAATTTATTCTACTACGACAGTAGTATATAATACAAATGTATATAAAATATATACTACAGTACAGTAGTACACGCAGATTATTAACAACATGCCTATAGAATAATTTCCATGTGAATTTGTATAATATGATCTTCTTGACACACTCTGTATATATATAGATACCTACCTAATATGTATTATAAATATTGACAATCTTAAGAAACGATTTATCAACTAGTCGTACGTGTAATATTCTGTAGTTCTGTACCATTTTAATTTAATTTGAAAAGTTTTTCGCAATATTATCTTTTCGATATCGACGATATTATACACCTACAGCTCTCACACGGTTATCTCTCTACTCGGTCTACTCGAGTATAGGTAGATAACACTAAACCGTGGTACAGCCAATGTATAAGTCATAAGACATGTATATAATAATATAAAATATAATTATCAAATCGTTATCATATTAGGTACTTACCTGCAATATTAATACTATACATTTACGTATTACATTCCTGCAGGTATCATTCGCTCTACTCGCCATGGTCGTGTGCTTCGCCGCCGCCGAAACAAAGACACCGACATCGGCTCAATCTGCAGACGCCAACCGGAGCAAACGGACAGTGGTCGTCCCGCTGGCCGCCTCACCTTACGTAGCCGCACCATACGCCGCTGCCTCACCTTACGTGGCCGCACCATACGCCGCCGCCTCACCTTACGTGGCAGCACCATACGCCGCCGCCTCGCCTTACGTGGCCGCCTCACCTTACTTGTCCGCAAGGTATGCAGCCACCCCTTACGCCGCCGCCCCATATGCTGCAGTAGCTTCTCCGTACGTCTCAGCTTACTCCGCTTACTCCACCTACCCGTACGTTGCCAAGACCTTGGCTTCCCCGTACACAGCTACTTACTATCCATGAACGAACCGTCAGACCAGCAACCGAAATTTTGCTACCGAAATCTATACACCTAATGCAACGTTTAATTGACTTTGATAAGAGTATCTATTTAATATGGTATAATAATAACCTGTATTAAAATGTATACAATTCTTAAAGATAATAATAAAAAAAAAACCCTTTTTAATGTATTCGAAATTTATTGTTGTACTTGTCTCGAAATGTAAATAAAAATTTAATTTGTTTATCAAAAAATTGTTTGTGGCTTATTAATATTCATCGACCAATGTATTATGTAATATGAATAGGTACATTGAATGATCCAAGTGACATATAAGTGACTTATAATTGGTACACTTCATGTAAAAATCATAACATAATACAATATTGAGCATACTTATAAATTACCTAATTGGCCTCTAGATCAATAATTTGTTTTACACATAAGACTAGATAAGTATTATTATATTATTAAATGTGATATAAGTTTATATTATATGGTTTGTTGAAATTTCGTTAGTACAATCATAAAAAGTCGCTCTGCCGTACAGTAGGTTACAATAGTGGGTCACTGTAATCGATGGTGTTAAATTTGAATTCAATGATATAATATCAATGTATAAGAAAAACGATTCTGAGTGAAAACGGTCTATCAGCCTATGATATTACTAAGTATATTTGATGATATTATTGTGAATAAAGTAATTTATATATTTACCTATTTACGTGGATCATTGTTTTAAATTTTTTATCCTTAGCTATAAAAGTTGAACATTTTATAAATTTTTAACTACAAAATAATTATTACATTTTAAATTTGATAAATTTTGTCAAAATTCAAACCTAAAATGCTTATAAAAAAAAATTGTGCCTATGTATTTTTAATATTTTTCTACTGCTATTGTAACAATATATCAGGAGCCTTGCATTAAATTTTCACGCTTTTTTACCTAACAAATAAAATTTTATTGATATTTATAGAAAAAAAAACTAAAAAGATTTAAAACTGACAATGTCCGTAAACAACTTAAAAAGAGTAAAATTAATTTCAAAATTTTATCGTGTATAGAAAATGCTAATATAAACATTCAGTAAAATGTTCAAGTATCTACAGTCATTCGTTTTTTAATTACAATAAAATAAGAAAATCTTTACATAAGAAATCGAGTGAATATCAAATGTTGTAAAAATATGAATTTCAAACACTCATAAAAATTTAATTTGAGTTTCTTGTAGACATTTTTTTTGATAAAGGTAGACAATTGCATGAGGAATCTTGTATTACATTTTCAAATCTAAGATTTAAAAAGAAACAATTTTATGAATTTCTAACTCAAAATAATTTGGAAATTTTGGTCATTTTTACGTATTTTGTCAATATTTGAACTTTAAAATCTTATAAAAAAAAATTGTGAGTATGGATTTTTAATATTTTTCATCTGTACATGAAACAGTATATTAGGAGCCTTTTATTAAATTTTTAAGTTTTGTACCCAACAAATAAAATGTTATTGATATTTATAGAAAAAAAAACTAAAAAAAAAATGAAAACTAAAAATGTCCGTAAAGAACTCAAAATAAATGAAAATATTTGGAAATAGTTATGGTGTATAGAAAATGCTAATACAAACATTCAGTTATAGTGTTATGTACCTACGATAATTTGTTTAAGAGTTGCAACAAAAACCAAAATTGATTTTCTCGAAAACAAATATTGCGTAAAAATTCCCGTTTTTCCTTAATTTTTTGGTTTTTGGTGTAACTTTAAAACAAATGACCGTACATAAAATTTTAGATTTAGATACATGAAATTTTCACTGGTTGTTTATACTTACATTTTTTATACACGAAAACATTTTCAAAATATTTTGATTTATTTTGAACTGTTTAGGGACATTTTTTTTTTATTTTTTTTTATAAAAATATCAATACAATTTTATTTGTTGGTTTCGAAAACTTGAAAATTTAATAGAAGGCTCCTAGTATATTGTTTCAAAGGCAGATGAAAAATATAAAAAAATCCTTTATCACCGTTTTTTTTTACAGGCATTTAAAGTTCAAAAATTGACAAAATATGGAAAAATCACGAAAATCAGCAAATTATTTTGAGTTAAGAATTCGTAAAAATTTTTCTTTTTGAATCTAAGATTTTAAAATGTAAAACAAGATTCCTTATGAGATTTTCTACATTTATCAAAAAAAAATGTCTATAAGAGAGTCAAATTAAATTTTTATGAGCGTTTGAAATTCAAATTTTTTTTTATAGGGATTTAAAGATCGAATTTTGACAAAATTAACCAATTTTGAAATTGAATAATTATTTTGTAATTAAAAATTTATTTCCATGTAAGTAGTTAATTCTGTTACCAAAAAATCTAAAAAATACACAATACAGTTTATTTTTATAGTCATTTTAAGTTCAAATTTGGACGAAATTACATATTAAAATCAATATTAACAATTTTAGTTTTTTGTTGTAATTTAAAAATATTATTCGGGGATATATGAAACTGAAAAATCAAAAAATCAAAATATTATGGCCTATCCATACAATCTACCATAGTATTATGAATAAGAAGTATGCTCTATGATAAGACTGTGAATATTTTTTTTTATTACCATTGATATGTCTATAATATGTCTTAAACCTAGACTGACATACCGTCTCCGCTCAGAATTGTTTTTTCATACAATGATATTATATCATTGAATTCAAATTTAATACCGTTCATTATACAGTGACCCACTTGTAACCTACTGTACAGCAGAGCACCTTTTTTTATTTGATATTCAGAAGCAGAATAATTTTGGAAGTATTTCGAATTTCCATTTACAAAAACTGAATTTCAAATGATAAGTTATAATTATATAAGTTCTATGTACTAAAAGTTAGAGGACACTGCGTGGTAGTAAATACTGTACTAGTACAATGCGTTTTTATCAATATCCTACAGATAAGAAACATAGTTAGGTAATACAATATTTAAATTTTCCGTAAGCCACACATTTTGTAATAGCCAGAAAAATACGAAATTACTTGAACAATTTTATTGTAACTTATAAGTTATAATTTAGGATAAAAGAAGATCCCTACATCTCCTATAATACAATTAAACCACTATATATATTATACTTATTAGGTATTTATTTATTTTAACACATTGGCTTATTATAGATTTCACAATTTTTAAATAATGTAATTAAATATAGTAATTAGTAACAATAATGTCAATGAAGCTTGAGAGATTGTAATTATTATTATCTGGATTTATCGGTATAATTTATAGTACCTATATATATTATATCTACCCCAGTACCCCACACTAGTGTCTTCGGTGGGCCAAAGTATTCTTGTTTCCTAGAAATAAATAATAATAACAACAAAAACATGTAACAGTATATGGCTATAATTTATACAGCTTATTATACCTACTTAAACTATTATTACAGCAGTGACCTTGCATTAATGTAAATTGCAATTCAATCAGACATCATGTTTTCACTTTGGCAATCAATATGTCTTTACTTTCTATGAAGTATAAATTGTTTAATGTTTTAAATAAAATGTTTCTTTATATAATTATATTTCAATTACCTACGAAATACACATGTAGACATCATAGTCCGACATACCTAGTTGACATTATTTTATGATTTATTTCCTACCCACCATAGATAATATTATAAAATTATTCACGATGAATTCACGATGTTCGTCAGTTATGAACCTCGAAACAACTTAGGTACTTAACTGATTTTAATGACATTTTAATTGACATTTAATACATTGGTCCAACTTGAGAGATAGGATATTGTTTATCTCAATAAGTGGCCCTTAATTTTTTTTGTTGCAAATTTAAGAAAAGATCTTAAGACTTACGATGGAAATTGTTGCTTATCAATGGTTGCTATTGGTTACAGCTTACAGATTATAATTTATATTTGTATTTGTTGCTATTGGTTACTCGCGAAGATGAGGTAAATGAATGCATCAAATCGTCGAGTTTATGGTTTCACATAAAAAAATTATATCTTAAAACAAATATGAGAGTTGAAAGTATATTTGTAGGTTATTCAGGTATAGATAGGTAGGTACCTACTCAAAAACAACTTGGCTGAGTTTCAAATTTCAAATCGTGGTTGGAGATATCAGAGATATACCTAGTGCTTTATATTTTCTCATTCTTTCACTGGTGAAGTCGGGTTAAATAGATGAAAAGAGATGTTGGTTTATCCGAAGTTAAAAGATTCAAAAACTACTATACCGTTTTCAATAAAAAAAAGTTATAAATAGGAAGGGAAATTAGTGTTTTATAAACGTTTAACCCCTTCGGCCCTTCAAATGCATGATATTTTTGTTGGAATACATTTTTTTAGCCAAGTGCAGTTCGACCACTACCTGCTTTTTACCCGAGTGCAGTTCGACCATTACCTTTATTAAACCTAAGTGCAGTTCGACTAAAATAAGTGCAATTCGACCATACCTATTCAAGAACGTTACACGTAACATGAAAGTTGTCTATACTCAAGGTTTTGTGAAATTTATTTTATTACAATAAATATTTTAGTCAAATTTGATGAATGATGTACTGATAATCGTTCAAGCAAAATACAATTTTAAATTGTACTTCAAAAACCAAAATGATTGATTCCTATTTCCTCCAATATTAAAATTTTAATATACAAAAGCCAGTGTTGGGTAAGTTACTTTTAAAAAGTAATTAAGTTACTTTACTCGTTACTAAGGGATAAATGTAATTAAGTTACTTTACTCGTTACTCAAATAAAATTATAATGAAATTACTTTACTTTTCAAATAGAAAAGTAACTCATTACTTTCTCATTACTAAAATTAAATTAAATTTCAATTTCTTGGCAATTATCTTCTGCAGGCAAATTGAACAAGCAAATTCTTTATAAAACCTGTATAGTTAATAGGATCATATAAAATGTAGTCTTCCACACAAGCTATATTCATAGGAAACCTATTTAAAGGAATCAAATTAAGGGGCCTGGTCGCGACCTGTTTTTTTGCTCAAAAACATGCCTTACAGGAAAAACTCTCACGCCTTGTAGATTGGTCCGATTTCCGTAATTTTTTTTTTGTCAAATAGAGGAAGAAGTATTGCAGGGCGCATTGGACTTGGATTTTCAAAATTATTTTTCGAAATCTTATATTACAAGTTTGAATTTAATCCATTTTTACAACTTTTTAGTTTTTGTATTATTATTTATTTTTAGCAATGTAATCAAAAATAAAAGTCCAATGCGCCCTGTAAAAAATATTCTTCTATCTAACAAAAAAAAAATTACAGAAATCAGACCAATCTACGAGGTGTGAGAGTTTTTCCTGTAAACTGTGTTTTGACCGATATAATACACCCTATCAACCCCCCCTAAATAGGTATTGGGTAGTAGATTAGTGGAAAAGTCTTATAATTGAGGTGGCAACTAAAATATAAAATTTAATTTTCAAATTTTATAGAATTGCGGAAAATTTGAAAAATCGCGACCAGGTCCCTTAAATAATAAATTGTATTAACTGTTGTCGTGATTTACGGTGCAATTAGACATTTCAAATGTCAAAACCATTGAAAACCATGAATTGTGCCGAGTTAAACTTAAATATATATACATATAATATTAGATTGGTAAACATAATAATACCCGCATTATCCATATATTTTTTTTCAATTCGCAATAAAATATAGGTATACCTATAGGTAGGTATTTAATAATTCGAAACTGTAACGCGTTATTTTATAGAAATTACTTTTCAAAAGTTATTTCCATTACATTTTCGTTACTTGGAAATAAATCTAATGAAATTACGTAACGCTTTTCTTTCGTTACGTTACTACCCAACACTGTACAAAACTAATACGAAAATGTTAGTGTAGTTTTAGAAAATGTATGTATAAAGCAATATTATTGTTATTTATACTATAGATTCTATATATAATATAGATATCAGTGTTATCAAACTATAAACATTTAAATTTAGTAATATTACATTTTTTTAAAAGATTACATTAAAAATCTGACAACTATTATCCCTAGTGCCTACCACTATATACCTAATACCTATAGTATATGTATTTTAATAAATCAGAAAATACTAATTCGAGTTTTGATTTAGATACATCAACATTTTGTAAAAAAGGAGTTTGTATTTCCACAGGATTACAGAACACTTTTTAAATAGTAGGTATCTAATAATACCTATACAAATCGAAATGCATCTATTAGAAAATATCGAGTCTAAAAGTTGAATGATCTTAAAATTCCAAAAATCATAATTAGAATAAATTAATTATCGAAAGGCAGAATATTGGGGAAACGTTTTGGTGAATCACTCCGTACATTTTATCCAGATTTAACTTTATTTTTTCTTAAAAGGACATAATAGGTAAGTACGAATTATTATTAGCAACTGCATTCTAATTTTTTTCATGACTTAAATATCTTATAATTCTTTGACAGTTATATTATATACTTTAGATATTATTCAGTTCACATTTCCCATTAATATAATATAATATTATTAATATTTAATCATATAGATTATAGAGCATTAAAATAGGTGTGCGCCGTTATTGCAGGGGCAGCATATGCAGCAAATACTGCATCTGAATATATTTTTGATAGGTGATTGACTGCAGTACGCCAGTACCTATCTAATATCTATTACTATACAATGGAGGTATTCAAACTTTTTCATCCCGCGGTTCCTTGGTGTGTTCGCAATACTCTTACGGCTGCCACATTATTATGAAAAAATTGAAACAATATTATAAGGATACAATATTATATACCCAATATAGGTGATAATACTGATAATAACAGTGACTTTAGTACTAGAAATAACTGCAAATAGCCGGTTAATGTGTTTCAATGTTTCATTATCGTTTCCATAATCGGTTTAATGACTATAAAAAACATTTATATTAATTATACATAACCTACATTAATATTAATTTCGATTCCCGGTGCTTTGACACGGCTCGCTTCGACGACCTCGCGCGCCCCTGGGAACCGCGACGCACAGTTTGAATAGTGAATACATCTGCTATAGAATAATAATATATTTTACTTATGCATAAATGATTTTTGAAGTATTATAATTTATAGTAATTACTAGATACTTATTAAAATACATTTCAGTATATAAGATAAGATTGTAATATTGTATAGAAATTAAAAAGCATAAATGATAAATATGTAATAAAAAAACAAAATACCTATAGATACACAACTTTTTTTAAATTTTTTCAAGCCACAAATAAAATTTAGCCGTAATAGTCCTATAATATTAATTTACTATAGTCTTTACAGTAACTATGTTTTGTTAGTTTTTATTGTTTATTTTTTTTGGGGGTGACGGATTAAAAGTAACTATACTTTAGTACTTAGGTATCAACTTTTCAAAATAATTCAGATCAACAAAATACAATTAGGTAAAAATCAGTTATAAGTTCCTCATAAGTTTCCTCGTGAGTTTTATTAGTTAAAAGAACATTTTATAAGTGTGATTGAGTATCAAATTATTGAACATTGCGATTAAACTATTAATAATCGAATACCTAGGTATTTAAATTTTAAACGAAAAACAACGATTTTGTTATTTTTGTTGATATAACAATCTCGACACGTCGATTCGTAAAATAAATATAATTTGTATCTGTCTACTGATTGCACCGATACGTGCGTCGTTATTCAGTGTGATTCTAGAATTTCGCTCGCTCAAACCACCTTTGTCTTTGTGTAAATAAACGCACCGGGAAGTTATCATTAACAAATGACATAGTTCATTACCCCGGAGTGGGCTTATGTGGGATGATTTTATATCGGTTTGGATCAAAGAATTTCTAGACTGTTTCACCGCACGACGGAACACCTACCTTTAAATAGTTTAAATATCTGGTACCGACAGTCTTCCACTCGACACTCGTCGGCCGTCGCGTCACATAAACCAGGTGGGAGGGGACGACGGACGTGATGTCCAATTATTCGGGATGAGGCCAACAACGCTACCTATATAGACTATGGACGAAAACTAAAAAGTGAGTTGTCTTACTACTTGTCTCCTCCCACCCTAAAAATCAAACAAAATGACATCATTGCTGGGTCTGGGTGTTACAGTGTTGCAAAATTAGCTACCACGAAAGTATATTGGAAGTTGGAACAACGCTATCGAAAAATCTATTGAAAGAACTATCGAAATACTCGATAGCGCCTGAAAATATTAATGCAAATTGCAATTATTTAAGACTGGCTGGCTGAATCGCTCATTGAGCGACAAAATCGATTATACACAGACATGCGGTTTACAACTATTGCAGATATTAAAATGCAAAATTGTTATGGATTCAAAAAATAAGGTAATTTTTAACCTATATCATCGACATGACGACATGAAAACAAACGACGTCGTCGAGATCATGTCCGACGAATATTCGAGACTTCGAGCGCTAAAATAATTGCCTCGGTGTACTCACACAGTAACAGTGTAACACAACATTAGTACAAACTATAATGATGCAGCTGCTGCACAGATCGTTTGTTTTTTCCCTCAAGTGCAGCACAACGCACACACTGCACGAGAAACTGATATTGTTATTGCGCTATTCGTTCCGTGATAGGTGGATGATAGTGGACGGACGCTAGGACGCGTACACGTCACGGACCGCCGCCACGGCGACGCCATCGCGCCCAACCGGAATCGCGGCGATGTTCTGCTCACGACGACGGTACCTATAGAACGACACGTCTTCCCCGCCGCGCCACAGTCGCCCAGCCATCGATTAATAATAGTAATAATGATATTATTATTAATCATTCCGATTGATGTTTTCCGATATCGTCTCCCATAAACCGATCCGCGGTATTATTATTACTATTATTATTATTATTATTATTATTATTATTATTAATACAGTGCGTTATTAACATTACTATTATTATTATTATCGTTGTACGGGTTGCGGATCACATGGTTTAAGTTCCTCGATAACGGTTATCATTGTCTGTCGTGTCCATTAAGGTTGTGTCGCGGTGGTGTTCACGGTGTTGTTGTTGTCTATGCACAAAGCCCGACTGCCCGAGTGTTGTTAATTGTTATTGTCGGATATCGTTGTCGCCGCGTCCGTTCAGCGTATTTTGCTGTCGCCAATCGCCATCGCCCGATAACTGTCGCTCGCGCACGATTCATCGTTTCGTCGGATCCAGTCATCGTCATTGTGCACCACAAAGTGGTTCGCGTCGTCAGCGGTGTCTGCATCAGTGGCATTCGTCGTTGGGGCCGCCGCGGACGGCGTCATTGCCGCGACCATCTTCGTCAGTATACAACGACTGTAGTCGTTGAGGGTACAAACACAACAAGTGGCCGACATCCTTTGCACGAACCACATCCTCTTGTGAAACACGGTTAGACACCATTTATAATGTACCTGTCCCCTATAGTAGTCTTGTAATTAATTGTCGTAGGTAGTGATATAGACGTAGACACATATCCTAGGATCTAGGTATAACAATATCATAACTGACATCTGCTGGGGACGTTTGACAATGTTAAGTACCTAGTGCATGAGCTCGCCTCTGCTCCGATGGTGTAAAGCGATCAAGCCGTGCAAACGTATGTTGGTTCTGGCTGTGTATGAATTCTGGGATGAATTCGTTGTGTAGATTTAGGCTCTTTATTTCCATCTTCATGTCTTACCCAGCCCTCAGAGTTCTAATTAATTTGTCTTTGTCGCATATCAAAAATCATACAGCATATGCATGTGTATCCACAACAACATAATATCATATGTATTTATCAACCAGTTGTTTTTGATTTAAGTTCTTTCTATGTTGCATTACAGTAATTACCTAAAATATATTTTGCTTTAATGATTCCTAGTTTTATCTTTTAACCTCTCTTTTAACATATATTTTATAAATTTCTTGTAGGTAATTGCTACCTATATAATATATTTACTGAGCTGACTGGTTTAGTGTCTTTATATAAGAAACTAAAATTTAAATTTCACCATAAATAATCAAATTATATTAGGTACTAAAAATTATTTAGGTCAATCGGTTTATATGATAAATTTCCATCTGTAAATAAAAATAATCCTAATTGCTACTAGTAACTCGTCTAAATATTACCTAGGCACCTGAATAATTATGGACATTTAACAGTTTGGACTGTTTATTATAATACTGTAATTATTAATATTTCAGTTTTTACCATATATATTTAAATTATGTTAATATTCAAATAATATAATATAGGTACTGTTCACAGAAGTTCACTAATAGTGGGTCACGACTCACGACCCAAAGTGGGTCACTAATAAATTCTTAGTGGGTCATGAAATTTTTTTTTAAACAGTAAGAATTTTAATAAACTAGGTAGGTACTTATACTTAGTCATGTATATTCAACGTTTTGAAATTTATGTTCTACATTTTTAAGTATCAAATTTACTTTAGGTGTTAAGTACCTACTTATTTTTTGTATTAAATATAAATATATCAAGTATTTAGAAATTAGATAAGGTCTAACTTGGGATTGTATTTATTACTGTATTTACTCTTATAAAAATATATAATATACTAACCTACCTAATTATATCTTAATATTTATATTGTAGTCTATTGATAATTAAAACCCTATTGTTTGATCCCGAGCATTATCCTATTAAACAAATATCAAAATGTAATTTTAGATTAATAAAACAATGTATATGTCGTAGCCACTTCGTGAAATTCGAAAATATTTCACAAAATGGTCTCTTTTTTATGAAGTGGTCACTCCAATTTAACATTGTCATCATCCAATCTATCAGATGATGGTTCACTTTGTGTACTGGAATACAACATTCATTGCACACATCAAGTTTGATTAGGTATATCCATTATTATTTATTTAATGTATTTATTAAGTATACTTATTTATGACTTCTACAATACCATAAGTATAGATTATATTATAAAGATAAATTTAAGTTATTTTATCTAAATTTAATTTATATTATCACCTAGTATATTTATTTATTTATTTATTGAATAAACGGGCGGGAGCCCTGGTTGAAATAATTAGGTGTACAATACAGTCATACAATAACATAATATGAATAATATTACAAAGTATAAAATATAAAATTAAACTAAACAATGAATACAAATATATCATATTAATATATTGTCCATATTATAAAAATGTAATTTAAATAAGAATGTCTATCGTAACAAGTAATGTAATTTACCCTACATTGGTAATACGGAATATAATACAATAGAACAGAAGACAAATAAAGTAACTAGGTAGTACATTAATTTAGAGTCATTAATTTCTGCAATTATCAACTCAATTTTTTCAGCTGTATCTATATGGCTTTTTACCAGGCTTATCCAAATAATATTTATCCATAATTTGGTAAAACTCAGCAACTATACAGTGCTTTAACATCAATTTCAGTACACAAAGTGAACGACCAAATTGTGAAAAAAATGTACACAATGTTAAATTGGAGTGACCATTTTGTGAAATATTTTCGAATTTCACAAAGTATAAAATATCCGTTTCAATTTCATGAAATGGTCATCTTTTCATGAAGAGATCGATTTCACAAAGTGCCTACGACATATATATAATATATACCTTGTATTTCAGTATGTATGTATAATATATCAGTTAAAAAGTAGGTAATAAAAATAAAATATTATATCTTTTATTTCAATCATTAAAATACCTGTATGACGTGTCTTTTCAATTTTTTGGTGATCATGAAGTAAATTTACTGTACCAAATACTTGATTCACAATAGTACATTCCCCAGTACATTCTTTGTCATTCCTCATTTAATTTAGGTACCTATATTATATGCTTCAGAATAGGATAAAAATCCATTACTTGGATTTGAATAGGTCTAATATATCCTGTTTTTTATTTGTAATAACTAACGACTTTTTTCCTATTAAATTTTAATAAACTCTTCGCAGCGAAGTGTGGGTACTTACATGATTAACGTTAACTGTACCTACCTGTAGCAATTTTTAACTACCCAGAATCTAGGTAATAAACCTAATAGACTTTATTCCAATAGTTTTTGATTTTTATTTCCCCATGTTTGTTACTGATACAGTTTCAATTGGTATACAGCATTACCTTATTATTCAATCTACTATTCGTTACTTGATTGTTTTATAGGTATACTCAAATTATTAGTTGTAGATTAATTTTCAATAATTTATCTCCCAATTAAATTAATTCAATTTAGGTCGTTGGGTATTCGACTGATCGATTAGATCAATTAAAATTAATCATTAATAATAATAAAGCTATTTTTGTTATATAGTAAGGATGATAAAAATATGTAAAGAATAGAAAAACATAATGTAAGTTCTAAATTATAATAAAATAATAAAACGTGAGTACCCAATGACAGCCAATGACTGTTGCTATGACTTTTTATTATAGTAAGTAGGTAGTGGTAGATAGCAGCTACAAAGGTGTATTATATTTTACATGTTTTTATTTATATTTTATCTCATATTTTAAAAAGCGACACCAAAAATCTGGTTCAAGCATTTAGATTTTAATGATTTTCAAGAACATTTTCACTTTTAAATGTACCTAATGTACTTCATGCATGTAAGCACATTACAAGTTATTGTATGGTTATTCATTTAATATACATATAGATAGGTGTCTTAAGTAAAGAATAAAAAAGGTGTTGTACGCAGCGCTTATTTATTGAATTACAGTTTATCCACCATACAAAATAAATTATCAATAACATTTGTTTTATTAGTTTAGTAGGAAGTATTTCTTTATTTGTATTATTCTTAGTAAAATATTATCAGTGTAAAAATGTTAAGTTTGTTGATTACCTACAAGTTAAGTTTGCGTAATAAATATAGTATTTTTTTTTTGTTACAGTGCATGAGGTCTCAAACTGGAAAGAAGCGGTTTCCATGTAAGGCCCATTTAAATTTTCCATGGTTGATGTCAAATTTAAATGTACACATGAGTTCTCGCACAGGAGAGAAACCATATACATGTGAGGTCTGTTCAAAATCATTTACTTTAAACCAGCAACTCATTACTCACATGAGGTCTCACACGGGAGAGAAGCCTTTTTCATGTGAGGTTTGTTTAAAACCTTTCTCTACAAATGGCAATTTAAAAATACACATGAGATCTCATACAGGAGAGAAACCATTTACATGTGAGATCTGCTCAAAATCATTTACTTTAAACCAGCAACTCATTACTCACAAAAGGTCTCACACTGGAGAGAAGCCTTTTTCTTGTGAGGTCTGTTTAAAATGTTTCTCTACAAATGGCAACTTGAAAGTACATATGAGATCTCACACAGGAGAAAAACCGTTTTCATGTGAGGTCTGTCTAAAATCATTTACTCTAAACCAGCAACTAATTACTCACATGAAGTCGCATACGGGAGAGAAGTCATTCTCATGTGAGGTATGTCTAAAATCATTTCCTGTCAACGGTTCGTTAATCAAACACATGAGAGTCCATGCAGAGAAGAAGCCATTTTGTGATCCATGTAAAAAATGTTTTCCCCAAAATGGTCAGCTTGTAAATCACACAAGAATTCAAGAGGACCCAAGGATGCTTGAGGACAATGCTAATTGTATGATGTCAACTTACAAAAAAACCTTTAATTTAAACAGTAATATTTATTAATTAACTGTTCAAAACAATAAATTGTCTATAATATAAGTTTTTAACATTTAATAAAAATAATTTTTGACGCTTAAATATATGTTTATATTTATTTAATAATTTAAAATAATTTGCTAGTGCAAATATTCTATGATAAAAATATTGTTAAACTCAATATATTATATTATTTTTACACTTAATTTTTTTTTATTGGATTTATTTGCTTACACAATTAATACTATCGATATTATATTTTTTGAGTTAGAGTTATACGACATGAATGCATTTTTAATGACTTGTAAGTTGTAGTAATAAAATTATCTTAAATACTTTGTAACCTACGTCCTACTCTGGGTTTATATAACCCTAGGTATAATCATCGCAGTTCATCTTGGCCTTTGAATTATGGTATGTGTTAGGGGTAATTGTCGGTGACATAATATTATGCAATAGTTTACCTTATTTGAATAAAAAGTATTGAAGATAAACAATTTTTTAAATCTACTTTGTAATTTTCTCAATTTTAATTGTATTTTCGTCAATAAATATTAGTACTCATTAAATAGGCACTGATAATATTTCAATATCTGCTACATTGTACTGACATAATTCTGGCTTGATATTCATAACAAGAAGAACATTCTGTCCTTAATGAATGGTCGTAAGGCCAATGTGAACTGCATGAATTATATCTAACATGACGTACTTACTGCTTTGGTCTTTGATAACA